CCTGGTCTGCCCCAGACTGCAGGTCTGCGCAGGAGGTAAAGGGCAGGAGCTCTGGGGCTGTCAATGCTGCCTGGCTTCTGGCTCTGACCCCGGATGTGCCAACATCAACTACATGGTCCTGGGGATGTCATGTCACCTTCCTCTGCCTCCATTTCCTCCTCTGTGAAACAAGCGTAGGAATAGCTCCCGTCTACAGGTGTGTGGTGAGGGGAAATGTGTGAAGCACATGGAACACAGCCTGGCCAGGAAAAGCCTGGGTGTGAGCAGTGGCTGGAGCCCAGGGAGTGATGGTGGTGGGGGGGAAGGGTCAGGGGTTACTGCACGGGGCACGGGGCACTGGGGTGGGTGAGGAGAGGGGCATGTGGGTGTCCTCTAGATGGTGTGTAAGAGCTGACCAGGGGCCAGCTCCTACACAAGGAATACTTGAGGGGGGAAAGCAGCCTGGAGGGCTTCTGGACCGTGCTTGGGGACAGGGGTGTGGTCGGGCCACCTAGGAGCTGTTGGAGTGGCCTTGGGCCCCAGCAGGGCAGAGAGAAGAGGCTTGGGTCTCAACCGGGGTGGGGAGCACAAGAGGAAAGCAAGATAGAATAAGGGGGGCGTTTCTTCCTCCTTTACTATCTTTCCTTCCGCCTCCCCCTCTCATCTCCTCTCCGTCTCTGCCCCTCCTCCCTTCGTCTTTCCCTCTCTCCATTCCGCTTTCCCCTCCATTTTCCTTCTCCTTCTTTCTTACCTTCCTTTCTCCTCCAACTCTCTCTCCTCTCCTTTCTCCTTTTCTTCTCCCTTCCTCTCTTCTCTTTCTCCTTCTTCTACCCCTTACTCTCTCCATTCTTCCTCCCCCACCTTGTTCTAGAAAATGGGCAAAGAAGAGCCCTGCCATGAGTAACCCACTGTGTCTGTGCGGTTTACCTACCTGTAGAAAATTCATACCCTAGGATCTCCACAGGCTGGAGGCAAGAGATTTTTAACTCCACTCCACAAATATTTACTGTGCTCTGGTAACTGAGTGTACTTTGTGCTAGAGGATGCCAGAGAGATGCGGAGGGGCAGAGTTAGTCCTCGGAGGAGCCAGTCTGGGGCCCTGGCTGATGTTGGCAGAAACACACACCCCGTTCCCCCCAAGGAAGCGAAAGGGCTCTCTGTCTCCCAGTACCCAGGGCTGCTGCTCTCTGCAACCAAGTCAGCAGGGCGTTGCTGCCCATTTTGCAAGATCTTAACAAGACAGCACATTGTGGGCACAATCTACAGGAGGCAGGGCTCCGCCTGCAGAGAGAGGGGCTGGATCCACATCTGCCGGCTCCCTCCTGAAGGCACACACAAGCCACAATTTGCATTTTGCATCTGTCTCTCCCTCGCCTATACATTTTACAAAATCATCAACATAGATATAGTGTTGTCCTCCACAGGTTTTTCAGGGACATGCCAGGCTTTAAAATAGGTAGGCCCTAGTTTCATTTGCATGTTGAATTTGGACAGCAAATTGATCATGCAGATCCCACCTGAGCACAGTGCCCATTTGCAGATGCTTTCAGGTCAAAAGGGGGTTTAGAAAAACAAATTAAGATCTGAAGTGAGGGGCTTGGGGGTGGTGGTGGTGGGGGGGAGAAAGTATGCTTATTCTTATTTCATGCTCGTGATAGGATCACATTTCCTGGCCTAGGTGTGATGCAGAGTAGACAAGTTCTGATCAATAAATGTGAACAGAAAACACTCAAGTGCCTCTTGTGGGGTGGATGATTTGCTTGTTTGGACAAGACCTTCCAGAGGTCTCTTCCCTCTGGTATGACAATCGGCATCTTTCTAGATGGCAACTCCTTTGCTGCATCCTTGAAAAACGCACGAATAACCATAGCCACTCTGCTGACCCCACCGGAGACATGGCATGGAAGCAGACATAGACTTTGGTTGTTGTAAGCTACTGTGGCTAGGGCTTGTTTGTTACTGCAGCACAACTGTGTCTGTCCTGACTGATACACTAGGGAAACAAGAAGCCTTATTTTAGAGATAGTCCTCTCTTCAATGTTGGAAACACAAAAACACCTTTCTTGTCAGTCTTAGCGGTGAATGCTTTTTTAAAAAATGTGGTCCACATTTACTATGTTGCCTGAGTTAAAGATATAACTAAGTTTTGTTAGGGTAGGAATGGAAAGAAAACAAGGGCTCTACTTGCAGTTGATATTTCACAGTGTGGTAGGAGACAAGAAATAGACCTTCTCCCTTGCCTGCAGTGTGCATAGAACAAATTGCTGACCATTAGCACTGGCTTTAGAGGAGATCTAATTTTACTTCCTGGTGCAAGAGCTGTCATCTCTTCTTGACTTATTACCAACCATGTGTCAGTCGCTATGCTGGGTCAGAGAGAGGCACAGAGATGAGGCAAACTTGGTCCCCCAGAAAGGACCTCAGCTTAATGGCTACAGCAGCCCCAAAAGTGTTTGGCCCTAAGGCTCACAGCCGTAGAAGAAGAAAGAGTCAACTTCAGGTGAGAAACGAGAGAAGACTTCTCGGAAGACATTGTAGCTTACCCCTCACTTTGTGTTTGGGCTGATTCCTGGGTGTGGGAATGCAACATGGATGCTGGGCATGGCTCCCCTTTACCACCCCACTCAAACATGTGGGTCTATTCAGCCCTCCATGACCTACCAGCAGTTAGATTTCTGACCTCTTTCATGGCTCCGTGACCTCCCAGTCTCGTGTATGACTAAGCTTTCATACATGTTTGAGTGGACTTCATTGAAAAATGGAATTAAAGTACGATTTTTTTTTTGTGTTTCAAGGAATTATTTTATTTACCTTTAGTTATGTATTTATTTTAATTTGACCAGAGAGGGACAGAGAGAAGGAGAGAGAGAGAGAGAGAGAGAGAGAGAGAGAGAGAGAGAGAGAGAGAGAGAATGAGAAAGCAAGCCACCAGGTCTGAGACTCAAACTACAGTTGGCCCTGTGGGAATCCAACACCCTTAACCACCACGCCACCTGCTGGCCCCAGTACAAAATTTTTTTTAGTGCAAAAAATGTTGAAATCCATGCATACTTTTGTTTCCAGAATATGCATTTTCCACGAACTTGTTGAAGACCCCTGGAAGCAGTGTGGTCTCTGCAATGGGGAGGTCAGAGGCCCATCAGGTGACCTCAGAACAAATCCCTTCCCAGGAGGTAAATAAGAGTCTGACATTCTAGACAAAGGCTTCCTTCAGCCATGTTCTCTGCAAGGAATCCTCAGCCTGGGTAATGGCGGTACTGGGGGGTGCTACCCTCACCCCCAACCTCCTATAGGGAGAATGTCTGGAGAACAACTTGAATAGAGCTTGTTCAGCTTGGCTGCTGTTAGCAAGCAACTCATTCACAAGTGAGTACAAATTAATACAGTATAGACCAGCTACATAAATATTGTGCTGTAATTGATTGTCTTCTGTAATCAAAGGCAAGGCTGCTGACTATGTTACTACCCCCCAGGAAGTGCTGGAGGGAAACTTTGGGGGCAGGGAACTGAGGTCCTGGAGGTGGTTTTCACTGCCTGTACCTGACTGCTAGTGTCTCTGTCAGACTGGGAGGAGGATAAGGCCCATGACAGTGGGATTCCCTAAGACTGTATCACATGCCTGTTTTGTGGGCGGCATTGAAAGACGCAGTTATCTTATTTCATTATTGAGTTCCTAGTGATAACGGCTCGTTAATAAGGCACAACAGTTAGATCCTCTTTACAGTGACATTTTTTCCTGGTGTAAAAGTCACCCTCACACTATTTGCCTGCGTCCACTTTCTGGATTGCTAACTAACCGAAATGCATGGAACTGGACATTTCACATCACTTTACCCAACACGGGAAAGCAACGCCATCTTCCCATTTACCTGTCAAAGCCAAGGCGGACTTGATGGTTTCGTAGGTCTTGGGTGACCGTGACATTTTTCTCACTTCTACCCGCTAAGCCTGGAGTGCACTTTGGATAACTAGAGGATGCTTATCCTTTGGGGAACCAGAGTTTTAAAATGCAGAAACCCCCTTCTGCCATGAGGGGCGGGAGGGAGACCCAGTCTGCGGAAATCCCGGGGAGCGCTCAGCTGCCGCCTGACCCCTGAGGCCCCGCAGTATCCCTAACCTTGACTTTGGGTCAGCCCTCTTTACCCCTTTCCAAAACCTCGCTCGGGCTGAGCTGTCGTTCGAAAGAAAAACGAAGCCGCCCAGTTCTGAGCGTCGGGAAAAGGGCCCTCGCTCCCCGGGGTCTTGGGGCAACTTCCTCGCTAGGTCGCCCGGGGATTTGAAATGATCGCATGCCACCAGAACATTCTCCCCTTCTCCCTCTGGTACCCAAACCGCTCCCCGCCACTTCCCTCTCCTAACGCTGACGGGGGTGGGTGGCAGCACCGAGGCGATTTTATTCGTATTTTTTTCCTCCGGGTTTTGTCATGGAAACGCTGACACAACCTCCAGACCGCGGACGAGCTCGGCCGGGGACTGAGGGCTTTTGGGACCCTGCGGGAGCGCGGCGCGCACTCCGCACTCCCCGGGAAACAGCTGGACGCGACCATATCCCGGGCAGGGGCGGGGGGAGCGCGACGCTCCGCCCCGCGCTCGGTCCCGCCCTCCCTCCTCCCGGCTCTCCGCAGGCACCCTCCCCTCGCCGGGGGTTGCGAGTTGCATTTGGTAAAACCCAGCCCCGGAATATATAGATCATTGGAGCGCAATGAAGTAGCCTTTGGAGACGAGGGAGGGGGCCCGTCCGACAGCCACAGCGGCCAGCGCACCGCCAG